ACAGTTGAGTGTGTGTGTGTGTGTGTGTGTGTGTCTTTTAAGTAGTGTGTGTGCATGTGAGAGAGAGAGAGAAAGAGAGAGAGAGAGAGAGAAAAAAAAAGAGTGTGACAGGCTGTGAGTGAAGGGAGAGAGAAAGAGGAAAAAAAAGTGAGGCTGTGAGTGAAGGTGGCGGGTGGGAGTTGTTAATGGTGTGGTGGGTCCCACTGATGTGGATGATTGGGATATTACTACATTACCCTTAATGAGTGTAAGAATTAGTATTTTTTTTAGCCATTAGATCATCCGATCTAATGACTACGATTTATTCATATTTCTCGCATTAAGAGTCATTCTCACCGAATCCCAATCCTTATATATATATATATATATATATATATAAATATATATATATATATATAATTAATATGTGTATGCCCTAAATCTTACATTATCATGACTATGCGCATTAAAATTTCCATGAAGTACTTGTCAGAAAGCAAATAACTGTTGGCCCTCTGTTAGATTTCGTAATAGTAAAAGTCATCTAATACTACAAATTAGCTTGCATCTTATTATTCTATTTACTGTTTCTGGATTACTTACTACACTCCACAGTCACGTGTACTAAACTTTGATAGAAATGAAAATACTAATTTTGAGGCAAATAATAACACCATCCAACAATGTAGATTAGCTTTCATACAGTCCCTTCTTTCCCTCTGACAAATGTGTGAAATATATCATAATAGTAATGTTCATTACAAATTGCTTGAAATATAATATTTTGTATAACCTTTTAAGCAATTTCGACATTTTAATATATCTATAGGAGGGGATCACAGACCTTGAAGAATCTAGTAGTCACTGTATGAAAATAACCAACTATTTTAATTGAAGCAACAAGCAGTTCTAATCCTTGCACAAACTACATAACATTACTTAACCCCAAAACAGTGGCATCCTTTTTACCCACCCCTCCCCACATTGTGCTTCATCACATGTAAAAACAATAACAATGTAACTCCATTCCAATATGATTATCCAAATTCAGTAAAAAATCCTTGCATTTTTTATTGTTTTAAAATATACACAACTTTTAGTACACTAATATAAACAAATTTTAATTCATACCAATTTGATGTACTGGCTAAAAAGAATTATATAATTATCTAGATGTTTTATCTTCGAAAACCAATTTCAGCCAAAAGACAACACTATGAAATAACAAATTCCAAAACTAACTTCCAACGGCTCAATCTTAGTGAATCTCCACAGAACCATCACCCGTCTACAGCTGTAAGTCCTTGGGATCCTTCAGGAAAAAATGTCACCATATGACCTATGGCGGAAGCAACACTGGTGGGCCTGAGTGTTTGTATTCTTCTTTCTGTCCTGCTTAAAGATTAAATTAACTAAAGCAAAGTGGGGCCATGTTATCCATATGATCAATGTATGGTTTAGACACAAACCTGCTACATATTCATCGGCCGTTACCGTTATCTTTTGAGTAGCCCTAACATAAGAGTAAACCCATGAGCCATTGTGTTGTAACAAATAGACATACGTCTAACAGTAAGCCTGTAATTGCAATTCAATTATCACACTATTACTCAAAACAACTGGGTCACGGTAACTACCAAAATAATTACCAGCCTTTCATCATAAATCTCTCCAATATTGAATTAAAAATATACATAACTATATATTGATTGGAAGAAATATATTGAAAACTGGGGGTAGTATTCAGCATTCCAAAAAGATTGTCTACATAAAATACTCAAACTAACCACCTAAACCACTCAAAAGCTATTTATAGCGAACTACCCATCACTTGCCCGAACTCACTATTTCGGCCTTTCTCATTTTCTTACCAGTGGAACGATGCAGGAAACTCCTCTATTCTCGAGTCCATGCACGAATAACTAATGATAAACCTTATTTAGGCATAAGAACCAAATGAAATACCACACTTCAATAAACATTTCAATTATAATAAAAAGCAAGGTAAATATGGTAAATATATACCAAAACCCAGTGGCGCTCCATGATGATCATCTTGAACTGTATCACTTCTTTCTGCTTCAGGAAGATTGTGTCGTAACTTTGAAGTGAAAAAATATTTAACTAATTGCGCAACATCCTCTCGCATCCAATGTTTGGCAAAGTTTCAGTCACCTACATGCAAGACACAAACTTTGAACACCATCTTCAATCATTTACCAAAAAATAAAGAAGAAAAAAATCATACACAACTAAAAAGTAATACACAATCAAACATTGGTAACAGAGGCATAGTTCTCAGCCTGCTCAACCTGAAAAAAATGGTGGGTCCACCTGTTCCAATCCCAACACTCGTACGACAATAAAAAATAAATAAATATGGTATTACAAAACACCTACATTTTACCAACAGCAAAAGCAACAATTGTTGAGTGAATCCTCGTGAAGAATATTTCTTGTCAGCTTGTAGTTGACATCATTGTCTTTACTGTCCTGCTCCAAATGATAAAACAGAAAAGAAAATAAAAAATAAAAAACTCATCCAAAATTTCACATGAATCGTGGATAAAAACTGTATCCACATAGCACATGGGATGCTCTTGAAACAAAAATTTGTAAATAGAAAATAACACTTTTCTTTGTGTTGTTGAAGAAAACATGTTAACTGAATAGGTAAAAGTTGGAGATGAACCACTATGTCGTCAATTCCAACGATTCCAGCAGCTAGGTCTGCATAATCCTCTTCAACAGTTTTCAACTCCCGTCAGTAACGGCCCTGGTCGTCAACATACAGTCCTCCGGTCGCTCCTTCTTCTGCGGCATCGTCATGGTCTTCTGCCCCGCAGTAGTACTCTCCCTCCAGTGGCCGGATTCGGGCGTCCCCAAATCACAGCACACGATGATCGAGGAGATAGAGAGATATCGACTCTGACGAATGGAGGATCTTGCTCTTCAGGCTCGAGAAATTGGCCAAATGCTAACAAAATAGATAACAAGAAAACCTGTGTGGCGGTGGAAACTGAAGAGTAGAACAAGTGAATACAAAGCAAAAAAATTGGGAATTAGGGTTTACTGGGGAGCAACTGTTCCAGGGCGGGATGGTAGGGCTTCTTGAGTCCACCGGTGGTCGAAACCGACTTCATAGCTGCCTTCACAATAAAAATATAAAACACGAATCAAAATAGGATCAAACTAAAACAACAAATCTATTGTATGCATATGAAGACGCGACAGATNTAAAAAACGAAAAAAAAAAAAAAAGAGAGAGAAACAGAACACGTCTGACTAAATGCACTGAACTTGGTGCTGAGTTGCTTCCTCGGAGATTGTAACAAGCCATAGCCTGCAATCAAATTAACATCAGGATAAAATTGGAACACATCGCACACCAACACTGGAACAAAAAATGAACCCATTCGATGTCAGACATATTCCATTCCACAATCTTAAAGCATTCGTACGCAGGATACACATATCCAATATCAACCTGCACTATGTATGGAAAATAAGAAAACAAGTGCAAGACAAAATGGGGAGAATTAAAGTTTTGTAGAACAAAAACAAGGATGCGACGCATACACATGTACTCTAGTGATCAAAGATCCGATCATCATCAGTCCCTGCCACAAACCCGAAACATTTGTAAATCAAATTCAACAGCTCACAATGTGGGGTAAACGAACTTGCTTTATAATTTCAGAACTTAAATGGAAAATCTCTTGTTATTTACCAGGTTCACATTTAAAACCACTTGTAACAGCAAAATGACAAACCTATCTAAATCTGCGGGTCTTTACCCCGTACTTGTATGATTAACAATCTAAATTTTAGAGAACATGAGTATATGCATAAACAACAACAACTCTACAAATCATACTTCAACACTATCACTTCAAGTTAATTATTGTCCTTGATCTTCGAATTGGTTGTAACTTGTACCCTTGCCAAAAAAGTGGGGGTACCTCACGTCCCCTACCTCGCTTTTTCCGCCAAACCCTTCCTCGAATCCCTATTCACGGAGCAGACCAAGAATGGCCAAACTGGTGGCGCACTTCTCCTGGGGTCAGTAATTGACGAACCGCAATAGCCGGACACGAATAGCGATGCCTAGATCGAGAATTTACCTAGTTTTACAGAGGGCCCGTGGCTGACATACAAACAAGCAATGGCCATGTGACACTCCCGAAATTCAAAGAAACACACCAGAAATCATAAAAAAAAAAATAAGCAGTGCCCTAAAAATTTCAAATCTTCACCGTAAATAATAGCTGGAAATGAGGTAATAGAGAAGAGATAAATATAAACCGTGCATAGGTCTTCAAGAGGGCAAGATCGTCTTTGTCCAGAGCATTAGGGTTCTTCTGATCGACCAATCATTAAAACAAAATAATAATAATAATAAAAAACTAACCATTGGCTCAAACAAATCCGCAACTTTGAAAACAAAAGCCCCAATTACCTGACAATTTGTCTTGTATCCAACGCCGATGGCATTATAATCGTCGACAACCCTCGCAGACAAGTACGGCTCGGGGAAGTCGCCCAGATCGAAAAACTTATCCTTTATCATCCTCTTCGCATCGACATTCTTCAAGACGATGCGCTCGGGGGCTGGTTGCGTCGCTGATCTCGAGAAACATAGTTGATGTCGTAGACCATCTCCGGCAGCGACGTCGACGCGATTGATTTGGCGGAGGCGGAGGCGGAGGCGGAGGCGGAAGACGCGGTAATCCGTCGCCTTGGGAACGACAGAAATGTACTCGGTGTGGGTGACGAGGCTCATAATCTCCTATGGTTTCTTGATGTTGCTTCTGAGAGAGGGAAGAAATTGTGAGGTTGGCGTTTTGGAGAGGAAGAAGTCAAAAGTAGAGACTTGTAGGCTTGTAGCAGGTGAGATTGATGTGAGAGGATTGCACGACCCAGAAGAAAAGGAAAACAATTGAGGGGCAAATCCACCGAACAGCAGAAAATATATGGCAACCTCAGCAGATTTCCCTTTCCCCCACTATGCATAAAGTAAAATGGCAATCTCGTAATTACCATAAAAAAAGGTAATTTTGGGTTGAAAATTGGCCACGTGTCAGCCAAAGAAGCCCCATGCTATTTCCTTATATGTATTGGAGAGATGGAGAGATATGTATAAGGGAGACTAGAAGGCTAGCCGGCCCAAGGAAGATAAACATTTGATAGGTATGAAGATATCAAGCGGTAATTAGAATATAAGTATCAACATTACATTAGTGAAATACTAATACACAACATATAATCATCAAAATAAGACAGAGTAGTTGGTACACACCAGGAAAATATACCAATTTTGCATTAGAATTCAAAAGCATCTATGTGTAAACAGATGCTTAAAATTCTAGGCAATACAATTGGTAAATACAAAAGTTTAGTTTTTGTGGCATATATGCCATTAAGAAGGTACAAAATGCAGCAACATATATATGTCAATAGATTGCTGCAATAGTTGGCAATATAGATACAAAACACAAAAGACACAATCCATACAATATGTGTTTACAAAAAGTTTTAATGTGAAATCACAGAGCAACTAATCCATTTTTGGCCTACTTTTCTTTGTCGGGCTTGCATCACACATCGCACTGGTTTGATGAGTTTGCTGTGTGGGTGATTCAGGAATGTTGGTGGATGGAATGCTGGTTCCTGAGGTGGAGGATTGATGAGAGTCGAAGCTGATGCGTTTTTTGACCGTTGATTCTGAAGCTGCAATTGTTGTAGGCTTTTCACGTGGTGGAGTGAGGGAGTTAAGAACATTTTTTAGCGTTGGACTGAAGAGCTCTTTGTCTGTTATCTGTTTTGCGAATATAGATTGGTTGCAGTAAGATGTTTGTTCAATAATAATTTCATAGAATTTTCATATATGTCATTTTTGATTTGTACCTTGTTTGAAGCTGAGGCTGACCCTTCTTTTCCTAGCTCTGTAGGTGGAAGCAAATTTTTGTCGGTTTGCATGCCAACAATTGTATAAAGCTTAAGGACAGTGTGGTGAGTTGATTCATAGTGTTTGATGAAGCAAACCACATGATGTTCCCTCATTGCTGCTGCAATCTGAGCAGTCAAATCCACTCCCTGTAACCAGAAGCAACATGTATTTTACAATAGTTAAATAAAAATGATCTAGAATACCTTGTAAGTGCTAAATTATGATGATTGATTATGGAAAGCAATCAACAGTGGAACAGATACTTTTATTTTGTCCAAACCAACAACAATAGGGTAATCATTGCAATAAACAACACATGAATATAGAAGGTAACAAAACCTTAATCCCTATAGTCTTTTTATTTGTTCAGTGTTTAAGGTAAGAAAATCTTAATTCCATCTTTGGTCAGTGTATAAGGCAAGAAAATCTCAATCCTACCTTTAAGAACAATTTATGATGAACTCAGTTTTCTACAAATGAAAGAAAAACCTAGCCAAAAAACAACAAAGAGAAATAATGGTAAATATAGTGTGTGCAGTTATTTTTTTTTTTTTCATTTTTCAGCCTTCAACCAAAGCTGTGACTTTTGCCGAGAACTTATAAACATTGAAATCAATTGGTAATGCAAAGCAAATCCTCCAAAAATAGATATATATGAAAAACAATGTCATTTGCAGTTGTGTGTGTTTATAGGCACCTAAAATCAAAAGAACCAAAAAAAAAATATAAAAAAATATAAAAGAGTTTTATTAGAAAGGCATAGATCATAGAAGATGACAAAAATTTGTAGTACTTAAGCTGAGCATAGGAAGTATTACGGTTATAAATAGTTAAAAGGATAATTAAAGCTATCGGTTTCCATGAGGAGACACAAACCAATAAGCGATATTAGTAAATTATCTGTACTATTTTTGTTTTGGTTCCTGCATAAATTATTGTAAATAAATATGTCAAATAACCTGTTGTTCAGCTTGATATAAGTCAGTCCCATTAAATGGAATCACTCTTTCGGCATCTGAATCATACAACATTGCATGTATGTTTCCTGTCTCATCTTCAATCGCAATTGGCAACCGACACCTAATTGTTATAAATGAAATAAAAGGTAATGTGTGTTAGTTTTAGGCATATACCGTTGTCTGAACAATTGATAAAGTTCCTGTTAATATTAAAGATGTTTAATAACTTATGTATAAGTTCTATAGCATTATAATGATGAAATAATTATCATAATTTTGAGAAAGAAATTTGGTATCTTACTATGTAAAGTACATATTAAAATAAATAGATAATATTAGTAGAAGACAATAGAGCGTGGTTAATATTAGTATACAGGACAATATTCAGAAGAATGGAAATATAGAATATGTTAGTTAATTTGGTTTTGGTTTAGTGTTGTGTGGAAATAAGTTTTGTTTATTTGCAAAATATTGTTTGTAAGCAGAATGGCAGGTGACACACACTAAAGATGAGGTACATGAAAATTAAGATAGTAAAAGGTTTTAAATTCTTAGAAGCTTTTAATTGAAATAAGGCATAACTATATAAGTATACATCTGTAGTTTGATTTTATTTTATTCATAAAATTTGAAATTATTTAATGAGCAATTAAAACCTTGCTTCGACCAGTGTATCTTCCCTGCAGCTTCGACATTTGACTGGCGTATTTGGAGGCACATTATAATTTTTTCGGCAATTGTTGCAAGTAGCTGTCCACAAAGACTTGTTGTCTCCCAAATATTTCAGCTTCCCAGCAACCCAACAAGTTTTAGTCTGTCAAACAGATTGTTAAGTCAGTGTTTGTAAATTTGTAACACTAAACTTATGGTGGTTAACATGTTATTTTACTTGCATAAGCGTAATTTGCTATAGCTTACGTATTTGATAGAAGATACTGCGCGTTGGACAGTTACTATCTCACTGGCTAATGGGTATGGAAACAATTTGTCTGTGTCTCTATACACTCCTTCCTCCACCAGTTTTGCAACATTTGCTTTGTTTTCAGTGTACCTATTCAAGAGTATGTGAGAAATAACCAAAAGGTGTGGTGTAATATTACAATTATTATATTTGAAATTGTTTAATACGTACCATTGCTTTAATCTGTCAGCAGCTAATATTGGTGGATTTACCATCAAGCAAGTTCCAGTCTTAGTTGATAACGATAGCCCTTTATAAGGTAATTGTGTTAGTACGACATGAGTAAAGAATCAGTTGTAATGTAGAAAACAGAAATTGCGATGTATGATACCATTAAATGTCGTAACCCTTGTTCTCATGGATAAAATGATGTTCCCAGCTGCTGCTGTATTGGCTAAGTGTTGACCAATATCATCTTCTGTTTCAAACTGATTCCAAAGAGTCAAAAGGACAGGCTTTTCCCTGATAAACAGACAATTATAAGTATAACTAATATATTGGAAATAAAATTATGAGGTAGGATAAAATTCTCACTCTTCATTAACAATGACCAACTCTCGGGCTGTGTTTCTTTGGCCCAGACTCTTGACCGGAAAAGCATGCACGACAACACCAAGGAGGTCTAGTAAATTTTAAATTGAACATTGTGAGTTGGTTTGTTGTTTAAGAAAAGGACGCACAAATTTTAAGTAAAGTAATATTGAAAATTTTAGCCGAATGAGCTTACTTCTGGGGTTCTCTGTATCTGCGTATTTGTGCAAGTCCACAAACGGATGAACTTCGATTTGGCATGGCAGCTGAGGGGGCACTTCTTCTTCGAATTCTTCAACCAAAGTTTTTTTGTGCAGGAGCCAATTGAATTCATAAGGGCCAACTTGGTATAGCGGGGTTTCTGGCCGCACTTTTGCTCCAGTAAGGTAGTATCGCTTGTACGGAAGCAGCAAATCATCGAACTCCTTCATGGCTGCTTTGTATACTACAGCAGCTACTTTGGTACCCTGTTATGCCAGAATAATGAATATGTCAGAGATATAGTCCTCATTTGTTATTTAATTCAACTAATAGACAAATGCTCAAGTTATTTACAGACCTCTCCATCCGTGAATAAGTATCTTCGATAGGGCACTTGTGAATCACTTTTGCTTATTTGAATAGGTGCCCTCTCAACGACCTGAATAAGCGCAGTCCAGTTTCTGGTCTCATCAGTAATTTGGCTAATGGGCAGATAGGTTCTCGACATTGTTACCTGCATTGATCGATAATAGATAAATGAAAATTGGAAAAATAGTAGACTTTATGTAAAGTAACTTATAGCAAACCACACAGTACAATTTTTTTTTTTTCATAATAATGTAAATTTTAATTACATTGTTGTGCCGCAGCTGCTTCGAGTACTTCGTTGTAAACTATATTTTTTGTAGCAAAATTGTTTTGTGGATCAAAAAAAGGTGGCCTAATAACAAATTTAATTGCTGACGATAGTTTTGCGCGCGACAGTGCTACATAAAGCTGACCGTGTGAAAAGATTGGCTCTTTTAAATAAACACCAACTGAATCTAATGTTTGCCCTTGGGCTTTATTAATTGTCATAGCAAAACATAATCGCACTGGGAATTGAATTCTTTTGTAAGGCACAGGAAGTTGGTCATCACTTGAAGGTTTTAATGGAATTCTATGTACGAAAACATTTTTCCCTTTAAAGTCTCCTACAACGATTTCTGCATGAATAATGTTTCGTGTCAATCTTTTACAAATCAGCCGGGTTCCATTGCATAATCCTTCTGTTGGATCCAAATTTCTGAGTAGTATGATAGGAGCATTTACTTTTAACTGAAGCTTATGTGGAGGCATGCCACTAGGTGTTAAAGAATTGATAATGTCTTCATAGAGGCCTTTATGAATGGGGTTGATTACTTCGTCGAAACTAAGGTATTCAACTAACTGTCCAGGGAAATCCATAATCAGTTTGTTATTTATCTCATCTACAAAATTATTTTTTATAGCCAATATTGCCCTATTCATTGGGAAATTATGCTGGTCAGTTTGTTTTTGTTTAATTTCAACACTTTTTTGTACTGATGTACAACAGAATTCAGGATATATTGAAGTTATTAATTCTTGCAAGGCAGCATCAGTATCTGTGTTTTTTATTATAAGTGAAGCAGGTAACTGAATTGTATTGTTTTCATATGTTGGCTCTACACCGTTCCCTATTCTTAATAAGTATTCAGTAAAGGAGGGATCATGTTGTGCTCGCATATTTTGTTTTAGTTCAATTTTCTCAAGCAAAGGCCAAATATAAGAATTCGTGATGCACGCATTTATTGTATCCTTTTTGTTACCTTTTCGAACTACAGGTAAAATTTGTCTAAAATCACCACCAAAAACAATAACTTAACCACCAAAAGGTTCACTTGAATCTGTTAGGTCTTTTAATAAGTCATAAAGTGATTCTATTGATGATCTCTTAGCCATTGGTGCTTCATCCCACACTATTAGTTTACATTCACGTATTAAGTTTGCCAAATTACTTTGTTTACTAATCTTACAATTTTTTCCCTTTGTCAGATCAATAGGTATTTTAAATCTTGAATGAGCTGTTCTTCCACCGGGTAAAATTGAAGCGGCAATACCGGAAGTCGCAGTTGCCAAAGCTCTAAGGTCAGCCCGTAAAGCTCTATAAAGGAAAGTCTTTCCTGTTCCTCCAGGGCCATCAATAAAAAAAGCACCTGGCTTTCCACTATAGACACGTTGTTGTATTATGTTAAAAGCCTTTCTTTGGTCTTCATTAAGTGACTGAATAGCATTTAAGTCTTCTTGGGTAACTAAAATATTTTTCCCTATTGTTATTTCTCTACTGTTTTCCCCAATGTCAATAGGTATATTAGGAGGCACTATGTTGAATGTATGGATATTTTTTCCCATTGATTCTAGAAAACCATTTATTTGTTCTAAGACTTTTTTCCTAATGCCTATTTTATTTAAATTTGAATGCCTGATAAAATCCTCGGACATTGCATCTTCGAATTTTTGAAATAATTCTGCTGGATTATTAGGACACGAATAAACAAGTAAGGTCGCAAAAAGGCGTCTCATTTCATATGCCATTTTCAAAAGTGATGCTTCTTCTAAGCAAAGTTCTTGGGTGTTATCATCTTGGAGTAAGCCTCTTGCAAGAGCAGCTTCACGATATGATTTAGAAACGGTGTTATTAATTGTCCTACTATCTTTTTAAGATTTTGGGGCTCTAATGTGCAGAAGAAGAAGCTTTAGGTAATACCTTTCACCTTCATTTGGGTGCACAATAACAATTCTAGCTATTGAATCTTTTCCGCCGCGTTTTTTCCATTTCTTCTCTTCTGTTAGCCACACAAAATGTTCTGGGAATTCTATGTATGTCAAATTTAATTTTTTTGCATGTTCGTCTGTTCTATTCATGAAAAAGAACTCTGTCAGGAGAGTTTTATGATTTCTTGGATTGTTCACAATTCTGTCTAATCTATCGTGTTTTTTATAATTAATTGTTTGATAATTCTCTAAATGCACTGGTAAATTAATAACAGCAGGTTTTGTCTCGCTAATTGGGAATCTATATATCCTCCATGCAGCTTCAGGCGGAGAAACCCAACGTGCTGTTCTAAATTGTTCTATTTCATCAATCTGTACACTTTGATTCGATGTATCTACATGAAATTTAATTTTGTCATGGCCTTTACAAATGTACTTATAAATATATTTAACAGCTCGTATAGAAGAACAAATCTCGACATTTATGTGGCAATTAAACTTTGCAATTAAGTATGGGTTATAAGGCACTACCCATCTATTATCTAATTTACAACCTCGTACTTTTATTGTGACATTATTATCTCGCCTTCGATATCTTGGATATGAATTATTAACTTGAATAGTTACTTCTGAAAATTCTTTCGGATAGTTAAAGCGACACTTATTTCTTGCATTCATACACGAATTAGTCGAATTTAACTCTCCACAAGGTCCATGCATCATATGCTTTTTGACCATATTATATAAATGCGGATTCAATTGTCTGTCTGGTATTTCAGCTCTTACAATTTTATCAAATTCTTCAGGCTTATACAATTTATCCGTGTTTGTTAGGATAATCAACATGTGAGCATGTGGTAAGCCTCTCTTCTGAAATTCTATTACGTATGTATATGCGACTACTTCTCCAAAAATATTTTTTTTTTAGAATATCTTCTTTGAGCTCTTCAAATTTTCCGCGAAAAACTCTAGCTACTAAGTCAGGCCTATTTTGTGATTCTTCAGTTTCCTTTAAATGCTCTTTTATTCAGGCCAATTGGGATTACATGTCATAGTTAAAAATATGTCAGGTTTCCCAAATCTCTGTACTAAAGTCATTGCATCTAAAGTATCTCTTTTTCATATTTCTTGGTCCTCCTATAAAAGTTGCTGGTAAAAATACTCTTTGGCCAATTTTTGATGCATTTGTTTCTCCTAATGCTAGAGAATCTTGAACGCCTTGCAAGATTTCCTGTCTAATTTCAGTTTGTTGTTTTTTAAAGAAGTCTAATCTTTGTGATTCAATTTTAACATACATATCAACTATATATTGTTGATATAATCTCCCGAAATTTAGTAAGCATGACTTATCATTTTCTCTTATTTGTAATTTGTATGCATAATAGTCCCCCATCGAAACAAAATCCCGGCCCGTTGCTGATGCAACGTTTGCTGAAAACAGAAAGCATGATGCATGAGAAGTTATTATATATGCCATAAGTATTTTGTTAAAATAAATAACTTCAAATTAATGTATACAGCAAAATATTATTAGTAATAGGTGTTTTATTTATTAACTCACCATCCTCTGCCTCAATTAACTCTTCAGCTGATGTCGCATGACATGTAATTGCACAGGACGGTGCGTTTCTGTGTGATGCATGTTTTGAAACTAAGCCTTTTAACTTTTCTATGCCTTGGTGCCAACCGAGTTCACCAAATGGGAAAAGCAATGGATATTGCAATGGATCATAACAACCGAAATAATATTGTATTCTATGTGGCAAACCACTACGATTATACACTTTGATATTTCTTTCAGATGATTCTTGACCATCTTCGTTCTCTACCCATATTGCGGCTACTTGAGAGGCTTCCGGCTTATTATAAACTCTCTGATCAATATTTGGATTAGTCTTTAATGTGATCTCGTATTCATCTAAATTGTCTACATCATTAAGACTTCTGAAAAACTGAGCATATGGATTTTCCCTTAGAATGTATAAAATTTTTTCAATCAGTGATTCTGATAGTCTAGGGCAGGCTTTCAATCGATTTGCAATTTCATTTTCAGTGTCGTGAAAATACAACTGTAAATTTTGAGAGGCTTCTAAATCATCTAAGAAGTGGTACATCTGGCCTTATATTTTGAAGGTGTAAATCCCTTTATTGCGTTTGGTTAAATTTTTATCACATTTGACTCCCAAAGAAGTAAATGCAAATTGGTTGTTGATGGTCCTAATACAATCTCGAAAGAGTTTGGATTCGTCATTTGTGGAAAAAAGTAAATCTTTTAAGACAGTTGGCAAGGAATTATTTGCTAATTTTATTTTACCATTTGAACAACAAAATGCACCTGTTTCATACTGAAACTTAAGAGAACTACAATAAAAACATTTTTTGTTTTTTCGTAAAATAAAAGGCTCACCTGGTATGTTAGCCAAAATATTACGATTAATAGTGCGCAAGATACCTATCACAAGCGTAGATGTTGTTAGGTAATTTTGTTAGTGGTATATGAAATAATTTATTTGAATAAATTAGGAGGTAAAAGAATAATATAAAGGAATTTATTTTGAGGACTCCAACTCCACCAAAATTCTTACCTGAAACTATGCGAAGAAGATGCTACATTTTTCGTGGGCCTATGCAAACTGACCATAGTTTGTCCATGTAAAGATGAAGTAGAGGAACTATTTGATTTATTTAAAATAACTGGAGGCACTGAATTTTGTAAATTTAGAATGCAATAGGTCGTTGGTTGATTATTAGTAGTAATATTGCTACATAAGGATTGTCCTGAATACTTAAAAGTATTTTCTATAGTTNCTTCCATTTTTCAATAGCATTTTCTTTATATGCTTTGTTGGGAAGTTCAATAACAGAACCAGAGGCCTGCACAAGTGGATTTTTTGTTGAAATGGCTATTGTCGAGTTGATTGTGTTATCTTTATCACACAGAGAAGTCCCTCGCTTATTGATTCTGTTTTCATCAATGTTTATGCTTGTTTCATAAGAAATGAAATTTGTAGAAGTATTAATTAAGTTTTTTTTCTGTAGTTGTTATCTTTTTTTTTTGCCTTCCATTTTTCAATAGCATTTTCTTTATATGCTTTGTTGGGAAGTTCAATAACACAACCAGAGGCCTGCACAAGTGGAATTTTTGTTGAAGTGGCTATTGTTGAGTTGAATATGTTATCTTTATCACACAGAGAAGTCCCTCGTTTATTGATTCTGTTTTCATCAATGTTTATGTTTGTTTCGTAAGAAACGAAATTTGTAGAAGTATTTAATGAGTTTTTATGGGATCCAGCTGCATGACTTCCTTTGATAGTCAAATTTGTCACTGTTAATATGCTCCCCTTTTTTTTTGTTCTTCCATCTTTCAATGGCATATTGACGACACCTTTTCTTAGAGGACGGAACTACGTTAATGTAATGCAATTTTTCTAATAAGTGGTTATTTGTATTAGACATTTGCTGGCAAAATATTTGTATACTTAAAAAAGAACTACTGCAACTTAACCAATTAAAACCAATTAACAGAGCCAACCACTTGGTAAATTTGTAATGTATTATACAACAAACCTATGATAAGATTAATTTTTTGTTGTTTTTTTGGGGCTTATCTTTAATACTTTACCTACACGCGCAGGTGAATGAGTCTATTTTTTCTAATTTACCTTCACCATGCAATCAATACATTTAACAATGACACAAGATACTTAAACGACACAGTTTACACACAACACGTAGGGAAATAATCAAAATAAAACGATAAATAAACCTGGTAAACAGATTATTTTTATTTTATATAATAAATAAATAAGCACCAAATAATAGAATCCCAGCAGCAAAATGGTTAACTCTATCAAGTACAGGCAAGTAATAGTTATTAGGGTAATTGTCAGCACAGAGGCAAATCAATTATTAAAGGAGCAAAAAACAGTTAATAGGTAATTTGCATAAAAGGAAACTAACCTGATAGCAATAAATAAATCCTTCTTAGCCTTCGTGCTATACATAATTTTGAACAGTTCAGACAACACTTCCATGAAATAGCACTACTACGTATATTTGTTAATAAATGAACTATAAGTCAGTAAACTTAAATTTATGTTTGAAAAAGAAACAAAGTTTAATAGAGTAAAGATATTTCTCCATTACCTTATATATGAACCTTTCCAATAAACCAACACAGCTATCGGAGATATTGGTAGCAGTCAACAGAGTTGTTCCTTTTAAACACATGAAAAAAAACCAACAATGATAATGAGTCACAAAAAATGGCATACAGAAAGTTCTTTTTGTAATGAAGGGAAAACAAAAAAATAGAAAAAAAAAACGAAAACATCTCGTTGCACATAAGACTTAAAGATTCTCTCAAAAACACAACAGACCTGATAAATTTTATAACCGTAATGATAGCCCAAACCTCATGCAGTCAAAACAGCCTTTTTACTAATTTAAGACAGGAGTTATAAGTGAAGAAGGAAATTTATTTATATGCAAAACAACATCCAAGCAATTTTGAGGCAAAAACGGCTAAACACAACTGACAAATCAAAAGAGACAAACAAATATAAGCAAACACAACATGCATAGGTCATATTTACCTTACAAATTCTAACCTAAACAGATACCATGATAGTTTAATGCAAAACAAAAGATTATATAGTTCAACTGTATGCAAACTAATGAGAAAAAGTTAATCTTTAACTTGAACAGATACACTAATAATTTAACGAAGGTCAAAAGAATATATAGATCTATTTTGTTCAAACCAATAACAAAAGGGTAATCACTGCAATAAACAACATATGAGCATATAAAGCAACAAAACCCCAAACCCTATAGTCTTTTCATTTGCTTAGTGTATAAAGTAAGAAAATCTTAATCCCATCTTAGCTCAGTGTATAAGGCCAAAAATTGTCAATCCCAGCTGCAACAACAATTTATGCTGAACTCTATTTCCCAAAATGAACCAAAAACCTAGCAAAGCAACAACAAAGAGAAATAATAGCAAATATAACGTGTGCAGTTTCATTTTTTCATTTTACAGCCTTTAACCAGAGTAAAGACTCTTATACTTTCATGTTCATAACAACCCTATAGACTTCATCTAGATGTGAGGCCAAAGCAACACGGTGTACTTTGTTTTTTGAAAACTCATAAACATCAAAAATAGGTGCCAATACAAAGCAAATCCTCGAGAACAGATAAATAAAAAAACCAATGTCATCTGCAGTTCAATTTTACTCGGCAGAACTGTTCACGGTACCTAAGAAGAAGAAGTTACCTGAAGATACTCTTGTTTCAATAGTAAAGGTTATATTTTTCCTTGGAAAAGTAAAAGGTTGTTGCTTATATATACACAAAATGTTAGCTTCTTCTATTAGCTTCTCCAAAACTAATGTAGATAATATTATATTGTTAGTGGAGGCAAATCAAATCACAAGCCCATTTAAAAATATTAATTGGACTAAAATAAAAGAGATTATACCAATAAAGTAAAATATCTAAGAAAAACCTGTAAGTAAATATTTTTTGTGACATCAATCGCCTAGTTTGTAATAATTTCAACCAATTGCTCCTTATAATAGATGGCTGTATACATTGCAGAATTTGAACGGCAGAGCACAACTCATTTTTCCTCATAATTTAACTATTTTATTAATTAATAAACTTAAATAAAAATGAAAAATAAATTGCCCTACACACTAAAACAAACAAAAACAAAACCAGTCAACCCAACAACCTAGAAACCTTGAATGAAAAAATAAGAGGATGAGAAACGNTAAAAAAAAAAAAAACAATCATAATAAAATGAGCTTTCCTGGTTTGCATGTGTAGCTGATTAAACGATAAGAGAGGCGAATTAAATTTCCTTGCGCCTACGAAACAAAAAATAGAAAAGAGATCAAACATTCCGGTTTAAATTCGTAGCTTAAGGGGGAAAATACACAAAATTAAACTCATGCTAACCCCAAAATAATAGATCAGCCCCAAATCGCAAAGAAATTTTAAAATTACTTACCCGCAATTGACGCGACGCGTTCCCAAAACCAGAAACAAAATAGATCTTCACTGGACCCAAACAAAGATGGCTCAACTGTATAATTTTGAGACCCAAACCGCAAATCCAAAGCAGCTACAGAGTTACTCATCGAGGAAAACGACGGGCTGCGAAGAATCGCTCTTGCCCAAAAAAATATCCCTAAAATGACCGAAAAAGAAAAGGAAAAGAACATCACACGAAATAAACGACACCGTTTTAGACACCCAAGAATGACAACATTTCTAATGGAAAGCAGCGTTTTTTTTTTCAACAGGTGAATGCCCTTGAAATTCCCTGCGACACGTGTCGCCCAAAGCAGCCTCATCTTTTTGTTTTTTTTCGAACGGGTAATACAAAGGCTCTTGAACCATTGCGCCACGTGTCGTCCAGGTAAGGCCCATACGATCTTTTCCACCCTATATATAATTGCAGAATGTGTTGAGCCTAAGTGGCACGCTCTCATGCTTCGGAATCCTATGTAGCAAAAAATTATGCTTTAGAATCAGGCTTGGATATAAATTAATATTTTTTATACAAAAATAAGTAGGTTTGGATTTCATGTAATGTAAATATCATTCATATTAAATCCTAATTGATTTCTTCCTTCTTTTATTCTACGATTACTTACCATAAACTATTTTAAGTTTCATTTTCCTACATTACCATATATTAAATTTCGTTTTCTTATTTAATTCATACATCAATTATTATAAATGTATATTCATCTTATTTTTAAAAATTTTATAACTTTTTTATATATGATATATCCAATTATTTATCTTTTAACGAACTTCAATTTGACATCCATCTTATATATACAAAATATAAAATAGTGATATATAGCCTTATAAATAAAACCTAAAATTATTTATCAAACTAGATTATTTGAAGCGAAGTAAAGTCAAAGAAGTCAATTGAATCGATTATCGATATTGAGCGCTACAATGGCCTATGCATGGGCTGCAAGCTTGATCCCAAAAAGTCCCACTCAAAATCCAAAGAAATTCTTTTTCAAAGGAGGTAATTCGTTCGACATGCCATGAACCGAAATACAATTTGATTTTTTTTGACTTCCCGCTTTTAGGTAGTCTGGGATTTTCTTTCTCCATTTTCTCAAGCCAGCTAGTAGCTGTCCTGTCGAAAGAAGCGAAGCGGGCAAAGCAGCAAGGGATGGAGAGAAGCGACATCTTTGAGCTAAACATTGGCAGATTTAGCTCCTGCTAAGATATATCAAATTCAATTATATTTTATCTTATAAAGCAATAAAAATTTATGTGTATTAACATACCATAATATAACTATTTTATTTAGAAAAAAAGAAACAAACGAAGTATGAACATCAAATTAGCATACGATAATATTCTTAAAGTTTATGTCTCGACTTAAATAAAGACTACACAGAAACATTATGATCGTGAAAAAAAAGTAAATAAACATTATAATTAAAATTTTAAAATAATTATTTTATGTCATAAAGTTTAAAATATTACACCATACACATTATATTTTAAATTGTTGAATATTATAAAATTGAAAATATTTTAAAAAATATTAAATCAGGGAAGTATAAAGTATAATTACAAAATAATCAAACTTGAAAAAAATAATAATTTAAAATTAAATTATTGAGTTGTATATATATACACATATGTGTGTGTGGTTAAGAAAATTATCATTTTGACAATTTGGAGTGTAAAATATGAGTATTTTAAATATTTAATTTTGTTATTTTTTTAGTTATTAGTCATATATTTAATTTATTATCATTCTACTATAAGAATATATATTTCTTCACTTCTTTATTTTGATGCAAATATTGAACTTTCAAGCGAATAAATATTTCTTCACGGGCGTTACTAATTGTCGAATAAATTAATTAATCTATTTAATTTTGACAAATATATATATATATATATATATATATATTAAATAAAATAAATAATACTTCATAAAAATATTTTATAGAATTCAAAATAATATTAAAATAAACATTTTCTTATTAATTATTTATAATTGTTTAATTAACAATAAGAATTTATTTTTGTCATTTTTTGTTGGGCAATTAATTTTTTTATGAAACACCCATGTAGTACACGGGAGTTGTACTAGTTATATATTAAGAGTAAAGAGATATCTAGATTGTTAACGGGACTTGTAATCATCTGATTTTACAGTTTATCTAACAGTCATCTCTCTCTCATGTCACTGTGAAGTACAACAATCTTTATACCTGCGGTACACCACGGACAGCGACGATCATACAAACCGACACTTGCCGGCTGGGGCCTACATACCGTGCGCCACCGGCGAACAATTTCCAGATGAGTAGATCACTGGCTGCCGTTCTATTACTGTTTGTGGCCACGACGACGTCGTTCGCCGCGTTGGATGATTCGACCCTGTCCGAGGGCAGATTCGACCCCGCCACAAATGCAACCAGCATCGAGTCCAATGGGAATAAGACTGCTCAGAAGGAGGATACATTCGCTGACATGATCGATCGCGCGCTTGAGAAAGAGTTCACGGAGAACGAGGATCAAAATGAAGGTTTTTTTGGATCTAGGTTATTTTGCCGTCAATTCAACTCGTTGTCATGTTTTGTTCGAATCAGGGATTGATGAAGGTTTCCTTTGGGGTTTATTTGGTGTTGTCAAGAATTAGAGACGTGCTGAGAAACTAATTCAGATTTATCTTTTGACAGACATGCTACTCTTAGAACTTTCTTATCATTGTTTGTTATGAGGGGTTTATCGAGGGAAACGTTTCTTTGAAATTTTCTGAAACTGGTTTAGCACTTATTTCTATTTGACAAGAAGTATTCGTGAGGCAAGGCTTTCATTGGCTGCCAATGCTCTACTTAATTGAATGATTATTGATATTTACCAATCTATGGATCTAATATGACTCCATGGTCAATGTAGTTTCATTCTGGCTATTCCATTGTGAGTTATTTGGCCTCAGTGACATTATATGTTATTGTTATAATGTATATGGAAGCAAATTGATTGGTTCCCTATAAATTTGATGAATAAACACATAAAGTGAAGATAGATTCTCTTTTGATCATATCTAAAGTTCAAATTTAATTGAAATTGCAGCGAATGATGCTGGTAGTTTCAACAATAGTGTTGCTGAGCAGCAGGTTTGTGACATCGCTTCCTGTTAGTTAAATAGTATTATTGATGCAATTTTATTATTACCTGTTTAACATGTTTATGAGGGAGGTAATTCACTCCAGGATTTAATTCATTTTTCCAGATGTGTTGATATTTAAAAGATGATTGCATATAAAATTGGCTTATATTTCTGTTGAGAAAGTAAATTATGGGATGAAGTGCCCAAAAAAAGGCAAAGAATCTTCATTGTGGTGTGGTGTCAAACTTTTTTGTTATATTCTTCACTTACTCTGTTTCTCATGATCAGGCTGTATTGGAAACTGTAGCTAGAGTCAAGTCTAAGAAAAATGAGACAAAGGAGGAAAAGTAAGTGTTCGTACTGTATGAACTTGTTAATATGTATGCTTTCATTTCTATTCACATGTTATCTTCCTTTTACTTAATTATAGATCCTTTAAATTTCACCAAGTTTTCAATCTGAACAATGACAATGGAGCCGAAGAGATTCCAACATTAATTGATCGAAAGGTAACTTGATGTTTCTGCTTTATTGTTTGGGTTTTATTGTACAACAATTTCCTTGTTTCCCTTTCTCCCTAGTTATCCTTTAGAAGGAATTATTGAACAAGGGAGAAGAGAAGTGAGTGATTCCTGTTCCAATCAGGTTATTGAAAATAAGTGTCATCATTGTTTCAAGTAATAATGTTCATGTATGTGCAGGATAATGTGTTTATCATATCAAATTTTAAATCTAAATACCCAGTGCTGCAGTTGGACTTGAGGTATGCTCGTGGTTTATTATGATACTTTGCCACATCTCCTTTTGGTTCTGCATTACTATACATGGTGATTCTTTTGTTGTTGTGGAATAAGAAGCCTTTGAATCTTAATGCACACATTTAATTTAAGCATTGATTTTGCAGGCTCATATCGGATCTGGTTGTTGTCATTGTCTCTGCAACATGTGGTGGGATTGCTTTTGCTTGTGCTGGACAACCGGTCTGATCTCTAACCTTGGTCTATGTTCTCTGTGTCCTTTTTACCAGTTTTTATTTATTAATTGATAAAGTACCGTGCAGGTTATTACCGGATACTTACTAGCGGGATCAGTTGTAGGACCTGGTGGTTTCAATGTTATCAGTGAAATGGTGCAAGTGCGTAGCTAAAGAATGTTAAAGCATTCGGGTAAATTGATTTTTGAAAAAGTAAAAGTTTCACCATCACTGATGGATGTAGGTTGAAACAGTTGCTCAGTTTGGTGTGATTTTTCTTCTTTTTGCTCTGGGCCTGGAATTCTCCACAACAAAGGTTAGCTTGTTTTGATGCTGCTCTGGAGTGTGGATTACTCTTCTATTTTCCCGTGGATATGAAATCAAATGCTTATTTTTTAAATGCTAATCATCCCTCATAAATCACAGCTTAGAGTTGTTCGTGCAGTTGCTATTCTTGGAGGGTTACTCCAAATTCTCCTTTTCATGTGCCTGTGTGGAATTATAGCTTCGGTATGCTCCTTGAATGTGTATATTTTTCTCCAGTTACATGCAAAATCTTGAAAAGCTTGCCTCTGATGTATCCGGCTCATAAAGTTGTTAATATGTCAACTTTGGACATGATACCGACCATCCAAATTCCCCTATTGAGTGTATATCAGTTTTGTGATACGAACACTGAAGTTGCTTTTCTTGTGAACACTGTGATTCTTTTAGTTCTAAAAGATTGATCGTGCAAAAGCGGCTCTAGTAGCAGATAAGCATTAAAAAAGATGGTTTCGACTCTGATTATAATAAACTGGTCAATGGAAACCAGGTTGGGTTCAAGTTGAAGTTGTGTGATTGAGTTGTTTTGTACTTCAGTTGCCTTTAATGTCGATAATACATTAGTTGAACTGGAACTAGAGTACGGCAGCTAGCTGTTAGCTTCCAGTCAGCTTTATTCAAAAGTGAATCTTTGTGTCATTTTGTGTTGAGTTGAAAATCTTCTTAAAATTATGCCTAGGTTGGACTTGGGAGGAGTATAGTAGTGTATAAGCTCCCTGATTTTGCCCTTTCTGATAGAGTGAAGAGCACAAAGAATTCTTGATAAATATGAAACTGAAGTTGACGGAATAATAATCTGAAATAAGTGAAAGTCACAAGGACCAGGGAAGAATTCCTATCAGATAGATACTTGTCTGCCCAAGCCAAAAGGCTTAATACAAAAGATTCT